ATGTCATGTATGTCTGTACGTATGCATGATGTACGTGCGGATGGATGGGTGGATGGATGCATGGATGTATTTGTGAAGGTAGGTAGGTAGGTAGGTAGGTAGGCAGGTAGGTAGGTAGGCAGGTAGGTAGGTAGGTAGCTAGGTAGGGAGGTAGGCAGGCAGGTAGGTAGGTAGGTAGGCAGGCAGGGAGGTAGGTAGCTAGGTAGGTGTCTATGCATGTATTTATATATGTGCGCATATGTAAGAAAGAACTATTGAAACGCCACGGCACCAAGAAAGATGCCCCAATATTATTCCTATTAGTCCTCCGTCAGCGTCATGCTTCGGATTTTGGGCCGTGAAACAGCTACAGTACGATTCTGCAAACCACGTTGGAATCAAGCCATATGATGCAGTGCAAAGTTAATGTTCATACTGTATACCACAAGCGAAGACGCATCCTGCCAGCTAGTGCGCGGTTATGCACACTGACTCACGTCGATACGCAGGCGGTACAGACGGGACCCTACATGTTTGCACTGCCACCCACGCAGGAAATCACAAAGTATCTGACACAGCCTGCCTTCACGCAGTCATTCCACCCTGCAACAACGCAGCCCAGTCTCCAAGTCTTCCATCGTTGCACCCAGGAGGGCGACAGATTGGCCGACGGCGTGTGCGGCGGAGGCTTGTGTGAATTCCTGCTGGGCACTCGAGGACAGCTGGTACCCCACAATTCGGCCTTTGAGCTTCGCTGCTTCTTGAATATGGTTTTGGCGCAACCGTAAGTGTGAAGCATGCAATCCTCACGGCCACGGCCGAAGTACGAATTGCGGAGGTCCTGACTTTCAACCGCCAAACCTAGATTCAATAAGTTGCCAATCGATCAGTAATACAACCATGCACCTCTCAGCCAAATAATACTTCTCGGTCAAACACGAACACCTGTCCGATGGGCCTGTGCACCGTTGAAAGCAGGGGACCACAAGCGTTGAGGGTTTGGGGAGTTTCAGGCTTTCAGGCTTATAGACTTGAGGGCTAAAGCGGCTAAAGCCCATAAGAACCCTTGAAAAAGCTTACGGCCTCTACAATACAACAACACCCTCTTCAAGCACTCGGAGCCTTGTTCCCGATGTTGGCCCGTGCGCACTCGATGGCCGAGTAACCTGGAGAAGACTGGGCCTTTAACAAAAAGAAGCTCGTACATGTGCCTTAACAGCTGATGTGCGGAGTTTTGGGGCATGCTTTAGTATAGCTATGCCGATAAGCTGATTTACAACGTTCGAGACGCCAGTCTCACGGGGTTGAGTTCTCAGCACAAACGGGCTGTAGTGAACAGGTTCACCTATCTAACCTATTTGCAACAGGTCGACCTTAACCGGTTCTTGTAGAGTTGAACTTGGGAACCTCCATGCTAAACTATCGGAAGGCGCGATGAACACGCCAAGCACGTGCTCCCCTAAACTGACCGCTTCCGCAGAAACCAATTGGGCTTCGTACAAGAACGCTTGAGAGTCAAAAGCTCAAGAATCACAGTCAGAGTCAGGCTTCAAAGAAGGGATTGCTGAAAGAGGATGCCAGACCCTCCGCACAATGCCATGTAAGAGTGTGCAGATGAAGTGCTGACAGATGCATGAAGGAAGCTGACAGGAATAGGGAATCCATCCGAAAGTTTGGTGCCCCAAGACTCAAGAAAATCCCTACTTAGAGGATCATGGGACTTAGTAACTAGGGCTATAAATATGGTAACTATACTTACAAGTACTTATAACCCCAATTAAGGTAGTTATAACCTTACTTACTGAGTCCCATGATCCTCCAAGTAGACCCTACTATAACCTCCATTGTAGTTCCTTTCTTTGGTTTAACCAACTATATATTAAGGATTCTATAAGGTATCCCCAAAAAGGAACTACAATGGAGACTATAGGTACTATAACCCAGTCGGCTAGCGGTGAATTCCTTCCCGGCCGGCCTCTGGGCCCGGTTGCCGCAAAGGTTCCGCGGAGCTTCGCTTTTCCGCCTTACAGGAGAGACGATCTCTGGCTCCTCCGGTCTATAGTAAGTACATATACCTTTAGGGTTTGTAGGGTTTATAGGGTTTTAAAGTAAACCCCAAAAAGTTAAATATACCTTTATAGGGTTTAGGGTTTATAGGGTTTTAAAGTAACCCCCCAAAAGTTGGAAACTGGGTTAAGGACAAGTAGTGCTGCTTTTAAGGAATGAGGCTACTGGGGTTTCCAACCTTTGGGCTTCTAGTGTACGCATGTCCCCGTCACTTTCAATTATTCAATGGCTTTCTCGGTGTTCGTATGCGGACCCATCCTTTTGCACCAGGGGAGAACGTGAATGAGCTTTTCGTCCCTAGGACTTCCCCCAGCCCAGGAAGGTCGACTCACACATACTACGACTGCTTCGGGAAAGGCCGTGTCGTTGCATCCTGCTGCAGCTGCACATGCAAGCAAATCTTCCGAACAAACTTGTGCAGCCGAGCATCGGTGAAGCTAGCAGAGGTCCTGACACCGAAGGCAAGTTTTACACACGCAGAAACGAGAAAGACGCGCTGGACATCGGGAGAAGTGAATGGGCAAGACCGTCAACACATGGGAAGTTCAACGCAACTCGATGTGTCGTGCAAACCTCCAGGCAGTGCCGACTCCACGCGCCACCCAGCCCAAAAGACCGTAAAATTCTTTCGAGTCCCTAGCCCTCAGAAATGGCACACACGCCAACTCTTTGGTGCTGAACTCCTGACTCGGTGACCCTCTGTGAAACTCTATAGCCTGTAAACCCTGCAACATTGAGCCGGCAAAGTCTGGATCCTCAAACTTCACAACTTACAAACCTTCAAGAACCTGAACACCTTCAAGCCTTAGACGAGACAGCCCTAAAAAAATGCCACTAGAATTACCCTCTGACTGCCTCTGCCATCAAGGTCCAGTTTTGAAACCCGATCAAAACCCGATAGAACCCTCGGGTCTCGCCTAGATCTCCGATCAGAACCTTTAAAAGGAACCCTCGTAGAACACTTCAGGGAACCGGCAAAGGCCCCCTAGACAACCAGGATGCATGCTCTGTCATATCATGTCAGATCATAAAAGCATACCATAACTTTGTTGCATTATAGAACAAACAAGCTGTGCTATGTGAAATAATATCAAACAAAGTGTAGCATCGTGAACTACATTCTGCAATCTGCTTACTACACAGTATTCTATAATAACGAATCATATTATAGCGCCGTATAGTATTATAATTATAGTTGCTAGATTACGGTGTCTCGTATTGTAACATATTGCATCCCACTATACCACACTACATTGTGCTTGAGCATGTATATATATATATATATGTGTGTGTGTGTATGTATGTATATAAACCAAACTATTAATCTACCTATCTGTTTGTCTGTAAGTATATATATATATATATATACATATATATATATATATACATGTATATAGATAGACATATACACATGCAGCCATCCATCCATCCATCCATCCATCCATCCATCCATCCATCCATCCATCCATCCATCCATCCATCCATCCATACCGTCCATACCATGCATATTTACTTACATGTGTGTGTATATATATATATAAATGTGTATATATATATATAGATGTGTATATACTAAAGATACATATATATATATATATAGATCTGTGCGTGTGTGCGCGTGTGTGTCTGTATATGTATAGAACTCCTAAACCAACAATAGAAGCTAAGAAAACTCCTAAAAGAACTCTATGAAACCCTAAAAGGAACCCTTAACCCCTAAATCCTCCCATGTCAAAGTGCGTTTGTATGAGGGAGACCGCACCTGAGGCCCGGAGCGCTCGACGGCCGCTGCCGTGGTCGAGGCACCTCTGCTTGGACGGCGTGCGCTTTTGTTGGTACTAGACAGGGTCTGAGTTGGTTTTACCAGGTTCCATGGCGGCCTGTCGAGTTATAGAGTTTTGGGTTTATGTAGGGTGTATGGGCTCCACGGCGTGGAAGGTGTAGGGTGATTGCCTTCGGCATGGCTCGACAAGAGCTTGACGCTGCTTTCCTGTGCATACGAGATACTCCAGGGTTTCATAATGCCTGATTGTGTTAGAAGGGGCTGGTGGTCTAAGCATATTATAGGGCTCACAGATACGAGTGCTGCCGTCCCCGCTACAAGTACCTACTTGTAGCGGCAGGGTATTCATTAGTATGAACGGATTTAGGATTCAGTTTCGAAGGTTGCCGCTTAGGGGCTTGAGTAAGGCTTATAAGCTTGGAGACCAGGCTCGTGCTTTCACAGTTTTCCAGGATATTGGGAAAAGTGGCTTAGTGAGGACTGGCACCAGTCCCCTATGCAAAAGTTGAAAGTACATGATGGCATGACCTGACTGAGAAGGCACCGGTGATTTTAGCACCTCAAGGGTGCTGAGGTAGTTGAGAGATAGTCTGAACAATGGATGTCATCACTCAGTTCCGGACATGCCTGTTTTTCCAAATCCTGGCATCCCTCACCAAGCTCCTTTTTACCCATAGACTACCATCTAAATGAGCCGCTCAACCAAAGGCCCGATAGCCCAAGGTAGGGCAGCCCGCTAAGCATGTTGCGATGCAGCGCAGGCTTCAGGCACTTCTTGGAAAGTAACAGACCTACTTGCATCTACCTGCTACCCGCTTATGGCTTGGCTGCATCGGGTTTCTGAGCAGCCATGCCATCATTTAGGGCTAGGGCTTGTGATTTGGGAGGCGCCGTCGTCAACCCAGTCCCACATGTGAAGTTGCCAATCGCACCGCGCCAGTTGACCAGGCAAGACGAAGCAAAAACAGTCGCTGCAGAAGGCAATGCTGCTGCTATAGTTGCTAGGTACACCGAAACATGCACACTTAAAGCCCACGCTGTAATCCCAAAAGAGCTTCTGTGACCCGATGCACCTGGCCGTCGTCGGCTTTGTGGAACTGGGCCTCACGACTTCAACTAGCATGTTCGCAGTTGGGTGCCCAGTTGCGGTAAAAAGACACACACCGTCAAACAGCAAAAAAACACATCGTTGGTTGTGTCTGATGCATTCTCTGCTGCCGCACGGTCTACATCGTGCTGAAACCGACAAAGCTGCTCGACATCATAGTTGCCCGTAGGAGACGGTACAGCCCTGTAGCTACATTATAGGTCGCAAGATCCACGCGAACGCGCCGATATCTATGCACATGTATGTATGTGCGTATGTATGTATGATTATGTATGTATGTATGTATGTATGTATGTATGTATATGTATGTATGCAGTCATGTCTGTATGGCTGTATATAAGTATGCATGCACATGTATGTATGGATGCATGTATGTGTTTACGCAAGCATGCATGCATGCATGTAAGTAGGTAGGTATGTATCTATGTATGCATGTATGTAGGTACACATGTATGCATGCATATATGTACGTATGGATGGACGGAAGCTAGCTAGTTAGTTGGTTAGTTAGTTAGTTGGTTAGATGGTTGGTTAGTTAGTTTGGGCGTTAGGTAGTTATAGTGAGTTAGCTAGTGAGTTAGTGAGTTGGTTGGTCGTTCGGTTGGTTGGCTACTTGCTTGGTTAGCTGGTTGGTTGGTTGGTTGGTTGGTTGGTTGGTTGGTTGGTTGGTTGGATGGTTGGTTGGTTGGTT